TAACAGGAGAAGTTTTCTCTTTTGTAACTATACACTGCCAAACCAGATATTTTTCAATTCGTAATGTTAATGATTCAGCTAATTGCCTCAATCGGACTTCGTTTTCAGTGACTAGTTTCAAGTGATACGTTACGTTTTTTTAAAGACTCAGCACGACGATCGTATCACTGGAAATTATACACAAAAATAGCTAGCCTGATACTTTGGTGTGGACATCAGCCCTCCAAATACATTTCTATCTCACTGTTTGACAACTGCAGTTGAAACTGGTTAGTTTCAAAATAGAGTATTTATCTTACTGTCAAAATGTTCTCATATCTGTGTGTACCCCATATAGAAGCAAACTATCATATTTATGCAACACATGCATGCACATTATAAGCTTCCTAATATCAATTCCTTTCAGTAGAGGGTCAGCGATGTAGTCATCGCGTTACTTGTTATATTAATCATTTTAGCAGTGAATATATCTCAACTTTTCTGATTCGTCACTCGTCGTTATGATCGACACTAGTTTTTAGCATATACATAAACATTTTATAGACATTAGTTTGATGGAACACGGAGTGGAAATGAAAAACATGAGTCACATACACTTTATCATGTTCCTTTGAGAATAGTAACAACGATGGTTTTTTGGCCATATAGTAGATAAGCGGATAATATAACAGTCATTATCGAAGTGAGATACTCGTTGTCTAGTAAATCGTTCTGAAATTTCCTTTGGGCAAAACAATGCCTGATCGAGCAAGAATCGTGAAGCTGCTTGTTTATAAATTTACCCAAAGACAAACTGCAGACTATCACCGATTGCGAACAAATCCACCTGACGAAAAAATCGCCGATTAGTTATTGAAACTAATTGACGATGTTTCCAGCTGTGTTTGTTACGAGATTGCGATGTTGACGAAGAGTTTCCGGATTCAGACGATGAAACTCTCGATCCTAACTTTGAAGAGACTGAAGAAGACAAACTATCGACAAATGATAATTTTAGTTTGAATTTCATGAAAAAGGTAGTTGAATTTTACGATGCTCGTTATTCGACTGGAAGAAAAAGACATACATGGAAGTCGACAAAACATCGATTGAGTACTGTTCCTCATCAGGAATATATGACTGGTTTTCGTCATTACATTGAACAGCATGGTACAAAACGGGAAAAACTGAACATCATTGGCGACTTTGTTTATGACAAGTTTGAGGAAGCTCGAGAACGTGTTCTGCCAGTCAACGATCATGATTTGAGGCGATGGGCGCTTTAAAAGGCTATTGAAGATTCCATTCTTAGCTCTCAGGCATCGGAAAAGTGGTTGAGAAAATTGAAGCATCTTCATCGCATTTGTTCCAGGAAAAATACAAAATTAATCACTCGCCACCAGATGGAAGATTTTGACGCTATTGCTGCCTCTGCTAATTCGTTTTTAGCAAGCGTAAAGCAAGAAATGAGTCAGTGTGCACCTAAAGAAATCCTCAGTACGGATCAAATTGGTTTTGAACTTGAGATGTACTCGAACCGAACACTCTCACATCAAGAGGAAAAAGTTACTTTGGTTCGGGTTAAATCAAAAAACTCTACACCACTTTTTTATACTATTCAACCGATGATATCTCTCGCAGGACAACTTGTTGGTCCCATCTTTCTTTGCTTGAAAGAACCGAAAGGAAAAATGAGCGATAGTATGTTAGTTGACTACCATTTACTTTTTGTTATCTGACAACAGTTCATTCTTTACATATTAAAAATAAACTATTCTCTGCCTCAAATGTCGTGGTAACATGCAGTACTTCTGGAAAACTGACCAGGTCATTAGCTGAGTATTGGCGAGATTATATTCTTTGTCCACTGGTGTCAAAGAAATCGCTTCTTTTCTCGGATCATTGGTCCGGTCAACGACATGTGGATATCTACTCCACTGCCAAAGGATGTTAGGGTCTTGAGATACCTGCTCACAATACATCTCGTATCCAGCCGTTGGATGTTTATTTCAATAGACCGTGGAAGGTAGTCGTTCGACGCATTTTCGATCGCGTTCAGTTTGATAATATCGCCATTAATTTACCTCAACGGAATAACATAATACACTTAAACTCTCTTATTCATAATCAGTTATCCTCATCTCTATTTGCTCCTATGATCAGATACACATGTTTTGAATCAGGCTACCTTGATCAAAATCCAAGTGATTTCAAGTCAATCAATGAAGTTTACTTCACCATCGATACTGCTGCTTGCCAGTTTACAACTTGTCCCTTATCACCTCTTATTAAATGCAGTCATTGCCGCAAAGTACTTTGTTTCGAGCACTTTTTTGAAGTTTATCACTTTCATAACTAACTATATACGATTCAAAGCTATGAACACATGTTTTCAAGTGAAATAATTAGTCTCTGTATTAAAGTTCATTATAAGATATAAGTTCGCTCTAAAAAAAGAGAGTGTGAATCACAAAGATGAGTGATGAATCAGAAAAGTTGAGATATATTCACTGCTAAAATGATTAATATAATATAAAACTATTTGTATTCGTCGTAGGGGAACTTGAAATTCAGGGCAATTTAGAATTCCCCTAGGGGAAACTCGAATCGTCTTTTTTTCCCTTCCTTTTCACGAAAATTGAGATATTCTAAGTTCTTCTAGGGGAAACTAAGATTCCAGTTTCCCCTATAGGGCAGTTTGGAATTGCCCTAGACTAGAGTGAAACTACCGATATCCTAACTTCCCCCTTAGGGGAACTTCAAATAAAAATCAAACAGACGTCATATGGTAGAGAACTATAATCTCGAGACCAAAAGAGTGGTTCGCTTTCTTTTCCTGAGCTATTTCAAACACTTGAAAAACGTGACAAATCTCACGAAAAATACCTATATCTCACAACGAAAACAACACATGTAGACTTATTCAACATTAGAACATGACTGTTTCTTTTTTGGATGACATTTTGTACTGCATTTGATACCCTTGGAGACGCATGGACAGGCCTTTGTTGCACATTTGCCATTGCAATGGCACGTTTCGGTAAACTGGATTCCTCCAGCAGAGATATACTCTTTGCAAGCTTGAATGAATGTCAACGTCGATAGTCCTGCCAAATCGACGGCTCGCAAATCAGCAAAATCACATTTTGTTAAATCCAGCAGATCTTGAAGACCATACGATACTGACAACACTCCTTTCAATGTGCATAGTCGATACATCACAGTATCATTCGACGATGGTGAAATCGAAACAACTTTGCAGGGTAAGATCTTCGGAGTTGTGTTGGTTCGATTCACTCGATCAATTTTGAGACCAACGAGATCACCGACTTTATATTGGCTGTTTTTGATGGCATTATCATAAATCCTTTGCCGTTTTGCAATCGCCTTCAAGTAATCTATTTCAGCTTCCGTTCTAATTCGTTTATGTCTCCCATCACGGAGAATGGCACTCGAAAGGTGACCAATTTCATTTTCAGTCGTACTGGACACGTTTTCTAAATATGATGAAAGTATTTGTGCCAGTATTTAATGGAATTTTTCTCTGACTTACCGCTAGCAACTTCAGACTCAGGTAAGCCGATAAACTCATCAGTTGCGCGAGAACTTGCCTTATCGACGAGGATGGCAACAGCAGAAGCAACTTCAGGATCGATTGAGTATGAATGAGATGCTGATGATTCTGTTCGTAAGGCTCTTGTTTCAATTCGATCACTATTCCGATTGCTGTCCTCTGGGAGATCGGTCAGTCCATCGTCAGTGGTGGATTGATGTACTAATGTTAAGAAAAGAACCCAACTTCTACGAACTAGCAGTGATAAGACCACTTACCTTCAGCAAACGCCGTAATGATGTCGATAGGCATATTTTCTTCATCTTCCACTCCTTCTTCGCTTAGTTTTTTCCACATTTCGAAATCGGATCGTGGAGGTTGGCCAAAAACAACCTCGTATGGTGTTTTTCTCGTTGTACAAGCTGTGCTTGTATTGATAGAGTAAACAACAGGAGCCAAACCTAAACAATGCCGTGTGACAATAGAACAACTGAACGAGAGCGTAGAAACGAGACCTACATTTGGACCATTCCGCTGATTGATTGCACTGCATCCATTTGCCCAAGACCAACTCAAGAGTCTGATTGCCGCGCTCAACAAGACCTAGAGTTTGTGGGTGCCGAGCTCGACCGTTGATTATGACCAAATCGGTCCAAGTGTTCTTCAAGTCCTAATCAAAACGAAACGACTGCACTGTACACAATAACCGTATTTATCGGCATACCTTGATGACTTTCGCGACAAACTCCTTACCGTTATCGGACTGAAGAATACGCGGTGGATCAAACGAATAGAACTGTTGCAATAGCCTCTCTGCCACGGACTCGGCCTCTTTGGTCTTCAGCGGGTAGGCTCAGGAAAATTTTGAAAAGTGATCCTTCGCATGGAGGATCCACTTGAACTCGTCGTCTGGCCGACACTGCATGTCAATTAAATCGATCTGAATACGCGTTAAATAACCCAGCGAAATGATTGGTCTACCTGAATAGAGCATTCGGCTGTTAAGAAGACAGAGTAGGCCCGACAAGTTGTGCATCGGATTGCGTTTTGAAGCTAAGCCAATACAAACCGCTTTAGACTCACTCCAGAATTACTCGCTGGAAATTTTGGAAAAGGTTGTCGATTACTGCAGGCATCACACATCTTGATGAACATCATCACAATATCATAAGGGACCCACGAGTATTGAGATTTCACCTGAAACAGAACGCGTTTCCTACGAAACAACCTCGCAACCTTTATACTTCGTTCCATGTTTTGTCTCTCCCATGATGACCAACACGCTTATGACATTCATCCAATTTAGTATACAG